TTGTTTTCTTCTTGATAAAAAACGAAAAAAAGGAAAATGAAAAAAAAGGAAGAAACGAATAGAAGAACAGTTGCATATAAAGCTTGACGATAGGTAGGGGTAAGAGACAGTATTCCAAATCTCATGGCGAAAAGTGGGAAAGGATATAAAAATCTTTGGAAGTTCAGGAAAGATAGAGAAGGACTATTCCGTAGGAAGATTCATAGATCGTCCGATAAAATGCTTTCACGTGCTCGACGAGAAAGGGAAGAGAGAAAAATCCTTGGAAATAAGAAAAACAAAAAAAAAAGAAGAAGAAGGAGGAGTCAAACGAACAGGAACAACACGAACAACACGAAGATGATTCTGACGAATACGAAGAAAGATGAGAAAATAAAAGAAAAAAAAGAAGAAGAAGAAAAAGTGTAAAAGAAGAAGAAGAAGAAGTAGAATGCAGTTGCAAGAGTCTCGTTGCTACTATGCCAGTCCTTATCACTACTGCGTTCAATGCATAAAGCATAAAGTTCGTATCTCATGCATACATTCATACAAACGTAGAAGATCGCGGCCAAAAAGTAAGGGAGAAACCAAAAGATAGAAAGAGAAATAGAAAGAGAAAGTGAGAGAGAATGATAGAGAGAGATAGTTCACGAATAAGAAAGAAAAGAGAAGGAAGGATGATGGTTAAAGGTAGAAAGGTCATAACTTACTCACCCTCTGCCAAGATTTAACTTCCACCCTTCCTCTCATCTTTCCACTCCTCAACTCTCTAAGATCTTCAAAAGACACGAGGGTAAACCCACCCACCCACCCTTTAAACTTGATCCCACATCAATGCATATATACCTACACCTTTTCTACACATTTATACACTTATATAAACGTATACGTAAATGGATGGATGAATGCATATTAAAAATGAGTGTGATATTTGAAATAAGTTACTAGAAAATAATTCTATTATTTATTAATAATAGAAACAAATCTCTATTCGAAGATTAACTTTACTTACTTTTTCAAGATAATTATAATGAATTAATTTGTTTTAAAAACTAACACGATTGAGTATTTTCTCTATGCATCATTATTAAGATACTCAAAATTATGATAGTATTTCTTTTTTTCTATTGTTTATTTTATATAGAAATTAATAAAGTAATATAAAAACAAAAATAGAATTGCAAGTATACTTTGTACTTATACGAATTAACTTATAATAATTTCCATACAATCGGATAATTTTACTTTACCAAATCTCGAAAAAGAAATAAATATAATCGATCACGATTATTTTCAATCTCCAATAATATTCAATCCTAATGATTAGAATAATTCATTCAGTATAATAATATTCATACAAAATCGTATCAATTGGTATAACGAAAATCAACGTGGATCAAGGACACGTATATCACGAAAGGTAGTAGTAAAGTTTGCTTTTGATACGTAACTGCGTAGTTCAATTCGAAACTAACCCTTCAACCCTCTATTCCTATTTTCCTCGTAGCCACCCTTTGATACTTTGAACCATCCCTCTCTCTCTTTCTCCTACCTTCCATCCCCCATTCCACCCCCATTCCACCCCCTCTCTGATCCTTCTCGTCTAGGTATTACACATACGAGTACGAGAACCGCTCAAAATTCCATTTTCCCCATGGGAATACATCCGGCGGTTGGTTCATTGAAAAATAGCCCACTTACCGCACACCACGGCCTCTTTTTTACCATAAATCAATCTCTCTCTCTCTCTCTCTCTCTCTCTCTTTCTATCATCTAACAGGGGATCTATCGGTTCACGTTCGATTCTGTTCCTTATTCTTATTCCTCTTCGTTTCTTCTCACTGCGTGGCTTCGATTTCATCTCTCCGGGTGGAAGGGGGGTGGGTGGGGGTGCTTTTTCTATCGTTGCTTTCCAGTTTTCCATTTTTCTCTTATTCTTTTCTACCCTTTTTCCCTTTCTCTTTTTATCTACCCTACGTATCTATCTATCTATCTATCTATCTATCTATCTATCTATCTACTATACTCTATTCTTTTTTTTATCTTTCTCTCTCTCTCTATGGGACTCTTATCTTCAACCTTGGAAAAGTCGGAAAATCGAATCGAATGGTAAAGTAGGTGAACGAATCGAATCCTGTCGAAGAGAAAACTCGATCTTTCTGATTTTCACGTCGTCCTTCCTTTCTTTTTCTTTTTATTCGTGATATGGATTTTTTTTTTTGAGGGAAGAGGAAGGGATCAAATTTCAAGCAGTTTCTTTTTTTTATCATTGGATTATTATTTATAGTGAAAATAATATATACCAGTGTTTCCTTCTTCTTCTTCTATTTTAATTTTTGTCATCAATAAAATAATACGATTTTGATGTAATTGTATATTATAGTTTCGTTATTATTATTATGTTTTTTTTAAATGGAAAAAAAATAATATTCAATCAATCACTGTATATCATAGAAAAATTGTCTCCTCGTTTTTATCTACTATTCTTAATAATTCTATACAAAACAAAATAAAAATAAAATCATCATCATCATCATCATCTTCGGATTCGTGGATAATAAAAAATGAAAAAAGTTAACTAACTTCTTAAGAAATATTAATAATGACGATCCTTATCTATTATCGCGAATATTAAATTCGTCTTAACAAAAAAGAAATTTTACGAAAAATAAGAAGAATAAGAATAAGTATTATCGGGGAACAATAAATAATCTGAAAAGATGGGTAAGATAAACGGGGACGAAATGCATTCGTCCTCGTGGCCATCGTTAAATGCTTAATTGCATTTTACGCTTCATTGTTCATAACCCCAGCAAGGGTTCGTTAAAATCACCTAGAAGAATCTAAGGAAGAAGTGAATCGGTGGTAGAATGGTAATGGGGGTTAACGGGGGTTGCTTGAAAATAGATAGTGTGGTAGATATAACTGGCAGGAATAAGAAGAAGAAAAAGATGAAGATGAAGATGAAGATGATGATGATGATTCTGATGCTTTGCGATTTCTAACGGGCTCGGAATAACGAGCTACCGGTTTCAACCCCCCCGGAGAACTCATTTTAATCGGTGATAGGATAACTATGGGTGTCATTAATTACTCCGGACGTAGGAGCTTTTTTTCCCTTTAGTTTTCCACCCCCCATCCCCCAGCCAACCCTTAGTTCAACTCATTTCTTACCGGTTCACATCGACTACTTTTCTTTCAACCCCACTTCTTAAATTCTTCAAGAATTTTATTATCGTATTATATATTATTTTTTTTTGTTATTTCTTTACTTTTATCCTATTGGTAATAATATCTCTCGAATTTTATATGAAAAAGTTCGAGTTGTACGAATAACTCCAAGGGTTCACCTTTTCTTTTTTTCAATTAACAACAAAAAAAATACTTTTGTAAATTCTCCAATGAAAAGTATAAGGGTACAAGAGAAAGGAGTAGGTATAGAAGTGTTCTTAATAATTTTAAATCAATCGTTTTTAAAATAACCGCGCGAGATTGTGTTTAAACTTTCTTAATTAATAATTGATTTAACTTTCTACAAATTTATACTTCTTATTTTTTGATTTTTCTCAAGCAATTCACCCGTTTACTTTTAATTCTACGATCGAACGAACAATTGTTTTCCAGCGTGGAATGATTTTAAAAAAATTAGTGAATATTGTTAAATTGTAGGATAAGAATTTCCTAAGGAAATGTATTTTTTTTCTTTTGTTTTTTCTTAATCCCGTTACAAATGTAATTTCATTTTGGTTCGCGTTGACTACGACGAAGAAGAATAAGGAATAAAGAAGAAGAAAAAAAAAGAAAAAAAAAGAAAAATCTTTTTAAATAGTTCCGTGTATCGTAATCTAATTGTAAATTTGTTGAAACGATCTGTAGGAATCTTTCTATTCCACACTCATACCAATTTACTGTGCTACCAGATTCAATGTTCACGGTTGCCTTTTCACATTGATTCGATTCATTTCGCGAGAGTTATCGAATTAAAAAAAAAAGAAACAAGCAGAAAAAAAAGAAGGAATTCGCGAAAAAGTTTGCGATGAATGAAGTTTCAAGTTTTCGAAGAAGGTACCGTTGTTTAAAGTTACTTTTTACGCGAATCGTACGATAAAGATTCTTTTGAATTCTACGAACTAGACAAAATAAATCAAATAAATGGCAAGATAGGGTAAAATAAAATTCTGGTTGATGGGTTGTTTTTTTCTAAAAAAAAAAAAAAGATGAAGAAGAAGAATTAATTAATTAATTGATCTCGTTAATACATTGATAAAATAATTGAAAGATATATTAAAGTAAATGAGATAAAAAGAGAAATATATATATATATATATAATTCTCTTTATATTTATATATATAGATAAGAGTAATTAGGGGTTAGATTATGTTAAAATTATTTAATCAATAATAATAAATATAATTAATTGTAATACACGTACGATATAACTGTTAGGTAAAGTAATTTCAATTTCTAATATACGCGTGAACGTATTAACGTTCCAACAATCTCATCTATTTTCTATTTAATTCTAATTGTATTATAAATAAATCTCATGAAACACACAGCTAACGAAATTACGAATCGAGGAGTACACTATCTCTCTACTGTCTTATATGAAAATGGAAGAAAGTTACTAGCACACACTAATTCTGATAGATGACTAAAGTTTAAACTTCGTTGCAAATACAATGCGGTGTGTGGCCTATTTGTTTGAAAATGTGATAAACGTAATATGCGAATGGATAAATACATATACATTTAAAATAATCTTACAAAAATATTTTGATTATCTATAATCACATTTAATAATAATAAACAAATACAATAATTACTATTATTTTAATCACACGATTTAATGAATTATTTAATCTGAAATATTTGAATGAAATAATAATGATTTATCTTTTCGTTGCTCGTTATTATTTCAATTGTGAAATGTTACAAATGATACAATTGAAATGTTAAAATGTTACAATTAAAGTGAGAAAAATAAATATTAATATTGAATTTAATTATATTTTTCCAGATAATCGACCAACTGTCACGAAGATTTATCAACAAACTGGTTTATTCTCATGGCAGCACGGAAACTTGCAGCCCTTTTCACCGCGGTTTTACAACTTTGCTTATGTAAGTTCATTTTTATTTATTATATATATATTTAATATATCAAATACTATCTCTACACCAATATTTTCCTATACATTGGAAATCTTATTAAACCTTTAAATGCGTTTGGTTGCTTTACGTATTGATTATTATTTTAAATCTTGTCATATAAAAAAATTATATTATAAGAGAAACACACACAAAAAAACACTTTAATTATTAAATATAATTTATTATTAAATATTCCCTCCCAATAAAATATTTACAGCAAAAATTAATTCAGTAATCAAAGGGTTAAACGTTAGAACAAAAAGTAAAATCTTACAACTTAGGTTTATAGTTTGAAAATGAAAAGTGGTCTATGACTTGGATAAGAATATTTAGAAGGGAGGGGAGGGGGAACGAGGAAAAAAAAGTGAGAAAAATTTGGCAAAGGAAGATAAAAGAAGAAAATAAGAGTAAGAAGAAGAAGAAGAAGAAGAAGCCGCAAATTGAAAGTTCACGTTCGCAATGCGCCACCTTCCGGCACATGACTTTCATGAGAACGCTGCAGATGCGACCATTGAAGAAGCTTTCTTTCTCGACTCCTTTTTCCTCGTAAACGATTTTCCCAGTTTTCTAAAGACAGACCAAAAGACGAGACAATCTACTATCCCTTGAAAAACAAAAAAAATAAAATAAAATCTTCCAACAATCGTCACTTTTTATAAAGGAAACAAAAAAAACCCCTTTAAACAAACAATAAATATTATTTTCTATCTCTCTCTATCTCTCTCTCTCTGGATGCAAAACGAATTATTCTTTCATTAAATACCGAATCGAAGGTACTAGTTAAAATAAATAAACTTAAACCTTTTAACGATGTATCCCCTCCCTCTCTCCCTCCAGCCCCATCGTTAAATTCCAATTCGCCCTTTTGACTTCGATCAACAAGCCGAAAATCCAACGATAAATCTCGGCAAATCCGAGATCACACATTTCCCTAATCCTCGATCAGGAAGCAAGTCAAATCTTAAATACAAAAGAAAATGATTTTTAGAAAAGATTTAAAGAGCCCTTTTTCTATAAAAAGAAAGGAAACAAGTATTTCCGATGAATTATACTTAACTTTTGTTATACATCAAATGTTAATTAACAAAAAGATATAGAAGAATAGAAAAAAACGTATTGAAATATAATCAAATAATAATAATAATAATAATCATATGTTATATATAATAGGAGAGTAAATTTTTATTGTATTTTTACGTATAAATGCAATAAATAATAGAAATAATAAAAGATTTATTTTCAATCGAAGTAAAACAAAATAATTTATATATACAGGGTGTATTTTATTTCATTTTTTACGTGTGAGAGTATTTCAAGGATACATTTGTAGTCGATGCAGAGATAATAAAATGAGAAGACAAAAAAAAAAGAAAGAAGAAAAAGAAATAGGGATAGAGAATGAGGTTGAAGGAAAAGGGTTAGTAAAGATGGAAGAGGAAAAAGGGAAGAAGAAGGTGGAGGTTTGTAGAATCCACTTAAATCCACGGTGATTTACTCGGGCACACGGCCTCCCTCGACCAACTTGGATAGTTCAACTTCCCACCATCCCCCTTTTTTCCAACGAACGAATAAACGAACGAATGAACGAACCCCTTGGACCAACTAAAAGTGAACGAGCACGAGCTTTTTTTTAAACCGATAGAGGAAAGCGTTAAAAAGCTATGCCAACGAACGGATATTGGCTAATCGAATTTTAATTCGTTCGAGAACGAAATATTTTGAAAATATTTGAATAAATGAAAATTTCGGTCTTCATTTATTTTTGTTTTAAAGAAAGAGTGGGGGAAGAGGAAAGAAATTTTCTTCTCTCTCTCTCTTTCTTCCATTTCAAATTTTAATAAAAAAAGATAAAAGATTGTATATTATAATACATTATCCCGAAGTTTGTTTCTTTCGGTTTTATTTATTGGTTCTTTTTTTTCTTCTTATAATACATCAATCGAAAATATATCTCGTTAACGTGAATGAAACACATCATACAGGATAAATTTATTATATATTTATTGTTTTTTCTTTTTGTTATAAAATTATATAAGACTACGAAGCATAGTAAAATTCTTTACGAATTATCAAAGTTATTTATAGTAACGAAATGTTTTTTATATTCATAAAAATGTCTAAAGAACAAACAATGCAATCATCATTTTGTCTCTTATTTTCTTGTTTTCTTTCTTTTTATCGTAAAAAATGTATAAAATTTATACTTATTGTCATCACGGATGATCGGTAGCATCAAGATTTTCATCCTAAAAAAGATAGATCTATAGCTAACAAATTTCTCTCAGCTTGGTGGATGAAATCCTTCTTCTTCATGATGGTTGGTAATAAGAAAGAACGAGATTAAAGTGGGAGGAAAAAAAGAGAGTAATAGAGAAAGGTATAGAAAAAAAGAAAATATATATATATATATAAAAGAGAATACTATACTAGCATCGAAAGCTCGAAGCTCAACTTTCAGCTGCGGTTCGTTCTTCGTATCAGCGATCGACGATATCTAGTAGCTTTAGTCGCGTCGGTTTTCCTATAAAATTTACGATTCTCTAGGTTAGAGAAATAGTCTCTTTTATATGACGTCGGTTACTGGATATCTCGATGACCGAGGAATACGATTTTCTAGGATTTTCTCTGATACTACTATTATATATAATATATTTATTTATATATATA